TTCCTGCTGTTCAGGCTGAAACTGAAGAACTGGCACGAAAAGTTGAATCCTTGAATGCGGAGAACGTGACACTGAAATCAGAAATAAATCGACTGACCGATAGTTCTGAAAAAATGAGGGTGGAAAATGCTGCATTAAGGGTACTATTCACATACTATTCCTCAGTACATACGCATTTCATTGTGATACTTTGCAATTCTGAGTGTCATTGTTTTTGTCTCAGGAAAAACTTAGAAATGCTCATCAATTGGGACCAACACAAGAGATAACTTTGAATATAATTGACAGCCAGAGGGCTACACCTATAAGTACAGAAAACTTACTATCAAGAGTTAATAATAATTCAAGTTCTAATGATAGAACTGCGGAGGATGAGAATGATTTTTGTGAAAATAAACCAAACTCTGGTGCAAAGCTGCATCAACTGCTGGACACAAGTCCTAGAGCTGATGCTGTGGCAGCTGGTTGATATAGAAAACCAGTGATTGTACTGGCTGATCAGGTAGTTTTGGCATATTACAAGCCCAAAATTACTACTAACAGTTTCCACAGAGGGATGGATCAGCTGAATTTTAGTATCTAAATCCATCAATATCAGAACTAATTCATTGCTTATCAGTTCACTTAGGACAAAACTCTGTAATCTATTAGATTTGACAAAAATGGATGACCAAGTTTGTAAAATGAAGAGAACTCGAGATTTCAGTTTGGAGAGGCTTGTTGAACCGTTACTTAATTGCGTATGCATTAACGATTGGTGTGGACTTTCTAATGTTATCATCTGATATATAAGTTATTCTGGATTACCATTTGTTTGGTTTTTATTTTATGCTAGCAATTCCTCTTGCAGCTTTTGATATGAATCGTTTAGGATTTGATTCCTCTTAAACACGCTCCTTTTTTTTTTTTTAATAAATAATTTCATAGTATTTTAACATAATGTCAGTCATTGTTTTTTCATCTTTACATGATGGGTTACCTATTACAGAATGTTGGATAGGGTACTTTATGGGTATTTAAATTGATTTTATTATTTTTATAATTTAAACAATTCTTTTCTCCAATTCAGTAACTGAAAAAATTGTGCTGAATGAATTTCATACATAATCTTACATTGTTACATTGAATTAACGTTAATAACTTATTTTTATTAAATTATTTGATATATTTTTTAATTTTAATTGCTTTAAATACCAGTGCTTATTAAACAAACGATACTTAATAAGCCTGTTAGAAGTGTTTCTAACGGTTGAAGCTGATTAAGAACCTGCCTTATTAAGTAGTTTTTATTATATTTTATTTTTTATAGTAAAATCTTGCGTTAGAAATTGGTGCCGGTAGGGCATCTGTTAAGGAAACAAAAATTGAAAGATTTTATTAAAATTAGAATTTATTATATAAAAACACAAAAATTATTTATTAATTTAAAAAATTGGAAGTCGTTAGCGTGTATTTAATGTCGATTAACACAGGACATTTTTCAATAACTCATAACATTCATTATATGATCTCGGAGGACAGAGTAGACGCACAGAAGATGAAATTCACGTGTTTCTCAAAACCCAGAATGCTAAATCTATCGAAGCAAGTTGTATATTTAGAATCCTGCATCATGATAATTGCTAAGGGAGTATTAACCTCTTACAAGATAATCGTCATGCTGTTTATTTTCTTCTGATCCTTTGATTGAAATGTTACGAACAGTGCATATAAAAAGGAAATATTTTATGCTAAACAACAGAACTTGGTAAAATGCAATTTGTACGAATACAGCAATGATTTGAACAAAGAGACGTCCAAGCAATTGTATTTTCTAGAAATGAAGACAACCCTAATCACTAATCACTAATCACTAATCGAGATGGATAAGGATGCATATAATAATAGGGTGAGCATGATCTGCGTTCATCCTTCTCTAAATCTAACTCGATTTCTTGGTTGGAACACTTGGACTATCTTCTAAAATTTAAATTTGACTTCATCAATATGATAAAATTAAGTCAATCAAACTTTGATGCATTATATTAATTTTAATATTATATATAATTAAGCTATAAACTAAAAGAAGTGTAAAACTTAAATTAAAGTATATTTTATAATATATATTTTTAAAATAAATGATCTTATTATAAATATATTATGTTATGAAAAATATTAACTAAATAAATTTTATTATTAATGCACAATAATTTAGTTAAACCTATAATTTTTTTAAAAATATATTATATATTAGGTTAAATCGAATGACTTGAAACATAATCTAATTCTGTCATAAAAATATATTAGGTTTAAATCAAAGTTTAAATTTATTCAAACCAATCTTAGATCAAACCGAATTAACGGAAAAGATCAAGCTATGCTCACCCAAACACACACAACATATAAATCGTTAATGTATTATTTTATTATAATAGTATTTTTTATCCAAGAAAATAATCTAATAAATTTAGATTTACACACCAACATTTTAAAATAAATTATTATTAAATTAGATGCGGTGGAGAACACCATAGATAGGTCTAGGTGGTAAACATGGACCAACTGTTCTACTGACTTAGTTTTATTACTATCTATATCTATTAAAAATAAGAATCAATGTGATAGAAATTTGTTCCCCCTTAAAGCTACGGGTATTCGGCTCAATTTGGGGGTTTAGGGTTTCACAGTTTTCATACCGTTAGAGAATAAAAATGTAAATGATTCAACACGGGCCTCCAGGCCCAGTCTCAGTCCAATTCTGAACTATTTTAGTTTGTTCAATTCGATGAGCCTATTATGATTTTAATTTTAGCCCATGTACAGTGCCCACCACGTGAATTTGATTTCCTTTTCTCACAAGTCTTCCATCTAAGATTTCCACCTCTCTTCCTTAAATGTGGCTCATTGTATTACAACTTTATGCTTACATTAATCAAGCAAAAGTCTGCCATAAAATAAAAATAATAAAATAATTATTTTTCAAAAATAAAATATCTTTTGTGTAGCATATATTTCTAGCATAAGCCAGTTTCAATTTTATACATGTATAAATGCACGAACCAATTGGATTGGGTCACAACTTAATCTTGGATCTAGACCATGTGCATTGACCTTTATATAATATACTCAATCATTAGGTCCCGTATGGTACAATCCACGAATAAAAATCCTTTAATTGAATTTTATGAAGGTATGTATGCATGCATTTGGATCCATTTGAAGACAAGCGTAGTATAGGAGTAATTACGATCGAAGTGATCATAAGATTACAATTGCAAAAGATTCACTCCTTGAGGTTGATTAATCATAGTAAAAGTTTTTGGGTGTGGTAGGGGTAGGTGGTATCTTAAAATTAATGGATCATTTGTGGGGTTTAAGTAGTTTTTACGTTTAATGGTGAATGATTGGAGGCTTGGAAATGGGTTGTGTTATGTATGAGTTGAGGATTGTGTCTCCCTGTGGTTTGACACTTGGGGGTAGATGGGACATGTGTGCGAACCCGTGTCGTTCATTAGTGGACATTAAGGATCAAGATATGTTTAGGACGGTGGTTTCTTTCAGAGGGTAGCTAGTAGCTATTACGCCCATTCCTGATCAACACGTGCAACATCATAATTTTTTTTATAATTATATTATTAATATAAAATGTTATATATATATATATATATATAATTAATGTATTGTCTAAAGTTGATAATTAATAATTAATTTATGTTTGTGATACATGATTTTTACTTATCAAACATTACTATGAATTATTCTTATTTATTATTTTTAGGCTTAAATATGTTTTTAACTCCTTAAATTTAAGATAAATTTATTTTTGGTCCCTCAAATTTAAAATTGTTATTTTTAGTCTCTGTAATTTTAAAAAATCTTGTTTTAGTTCTTTTGGTCACTAATAATATATTTGAAAGTAACTAATTAAGATAATTATGCAATATCAACCGGATTTAATGTGATATTTTCATTAATAGAGATATCAATAGGTATATTTTATGCAATAATGTTTGATAAATTTCTTAACAAAATTTGAATATAAAGACTAAAATAAGATTTTTTTGAAATTACAGGGACTAAAAATAATAATTTTAAATTCGAAGAACCAAAAACATATTTATCTTAAATTTGAGGGACTAAAAACATATTTAAGTCTTATTTTTATTAATGACTTATTTTTAAAAAATTTACAAATAATAATTTTTTCCCCATATATAAGGCAAGCGCATGAACCATGGTTATTTTTGGGGGCAAAAATTGGGTGTTTAATTGAATACTTAAATCTTGAAACAATGAGATGAATGAGTAAGGAAGCTTCATGGTGATGGTTGAATGAATATATTATATTGCTTATCTGCCAACTGTGCCATCCCACAAACGCCCTTCCTGCACATTGCACCTTTCCATATGTCAAAGATACCATACCATGATTTTTTTAACATAAATTTTTAAATTTTGTTTTTCTTTTTTACCTTGAGATCTTCACCGTAAATGCAATGCTTATATACAATTCCTTAACACTCACAAGAAGTTTTGTTTTTTGGTATAATACACTCACATGAAGATGGTGATGAAGTTCCCCCTCTTGAAATGGTAGTTCTAGATTTAAAATAAAGTTGGTCGTCTTGGCTTACAACGGATAATAAAAAGATGGTTTTATAATTATTAATAAAATTATATTAATTAAACTAAAAATTGAACAAGCCAAACATTTTTATTTAGTTATTTTACTTTCTCTTTGCCCCCAATATATTGGAGAGAAAATTATATTATACTTCATTCATTCTTATCTATTTATTTTATTAAGATGGCATATAAATTAAACATATAATTAATATCTCTATTCATATTTGTGTTTGTTTAGAGATTAAGTTAAATTAGTATTTTAATACGTGGAATATAAATATTAAATATTTATTATATAATTAAAATTTATAATAAATCATCTATAAATAAAATATTATGTTTAAATATATAAATTA